ATCAGCTGTAGATCGGGCAATATATTGCTTGTCTGAGAGAAGATCATGGGATGTGAGGTGGTTAACCACCTCGGTATTGATTAGGGCTCCGAAGACTTTGCCGAAGAGGGGTAGGAGACTGATAGGATGGTAGGGTCGCCAGAGTTCTTGAAGACAGGAAAACCGAAGAGGACTTCCAGCAGTCAGAAAAACAAGATTCCTTGAGGCAGTAGTTATATAGTTTAGAAAGGGTGGGTGCCAGTTCAGGCGTGTATTTCTTCATGACAATGGCTGGTATCCCATCTCCACCACTAGCCTTGTTGGGGTCTAAATTGGAGATAACGCCCAATACCAATGACGGGGTTATGTGTAACCCACTCAATAGGGCTTCAGTTCTAAGAGGGAAGTCGGATATGGGTACACCAGCAGAGTCGAGCGTTGAGTTGAATGAAAACTTCCGTGTAAAGCATTCAGCCTTGTCGGCAGAGGAGGTCAGAACTTTGAACTGGTTGAACAATGGAGGTATAGAGGGTTTGCAATTGTTCAATACGCCAATAATCTTGCAGAGCCGCCTTTATAAGCAAAATCTTTGGAGCCAAATTTACGGGCGGATGAAATACGTCTCCTTTAGTCAGAGCATGGAAATAGTGACTTAGCATGATGGAGGACACGTTTACACTATATTGAGGGGGATGAAAGGTCGATTCCAGTTTAACACAGGAAGAGGCAAAGAGACGCGATCCCTATTGCAGTCAGACAAGTCAGCTATGGAATAGATGAAAGAAGAGGTTCGTGGAGTTGGGCAATGATGGTTGAGCAAGTTACTAAGAGGGCAGAGAACCAAGGGAGGAAGATAGGCTTTACCTTCCCGGTTGAAGGCAAAATGAGCCTATCTTTGAGGGATTGAGGGGATGAAAATGAGCGTTTGAATGCCGATTCCAGTTTTAACACATGGAAGCATTAAAGCCAAACACAAAGCAACTTGAGCCATTTCTTGAGGGGATGAAAGGGGATTCCAGTTTTAAAGAAGAGATCCCTTGAAGGGGACATAAAAGACACGATCCCAGGGGACATCGCGGAGGAAATCACGGAATGCATCCCAGTCAGCTCGTTGATAGTAGAACAAAGTTTTAGTGGTAGGAGGTTCTTTGCAGGGGGTGGAGTTGAAGGAGATGTTAACAGATACTACCGCATGATCAGAGTTACTAAGAGGGCAGAGTTGCATGGCGCTACAAGACTCAGGGATGGAGGTAAAACACAGATCGAGAAGATAGGCTTTACCTTCCCGGTTGAAGGCAAAATGAGTAGGGAAGTTAACTATCTGTGTGAGGGATTGAGAGACTGAAAAATTGAACGTTTGAATGCCTGCATGGTCAGTCGTAGCATTTTTAAGCCACATGGTATGATGGGCATTAAATTCGCCAAACACAAATATGTAGGCAAATGGGTGGAGGGAGAGAGCTTTGTCTATGCTGTCAGAAATTCTATCGAGTATCCCACAGTCTTGAGAGGTTGGAGAGCGGTAAAGGAAGAAGTGATAGCTTACCGCATTAAGAAGAGATAGTCAGAGACACATGTATGACTGGTCTGGCAATTCGAGAGACAACTCTCTGGCCAGAGGGAGATGGTCCTTGATGTAGACACCAAGGCTGTGCATGTGGGTTATAGAGTCTTTTCTGAGGAGAGGAAGGTAGCCTGGGATAGAGAGATCAGAGGAGGGCATAGACGAGACAAGGTTAGTCTCACAGAGAGCCAGTATATCCGGGCAATTTGCAGTGAGGAAAGATTCCATACTGCAGAAGTTTGTTCTAATGCCACGGATGTTGGAGAACGAAATGTTGAGGGGTTTACTTAACTGAAATAATCTAAACCAAACATTCACGCAAGACAATTTGTGTATCACATAATTCACATGGCAAATTTGGAAAGCATCAGAAGAAAAACCAGGGAGTTATGGCTAAAATACAGGCTTTTTGAACAGATTTTTGTGTTTTTTTTTCATTATTTAGGGTAAAGTGTGTATGACTAAAATGATACTATCTTATTTCTTGCATGATGGCAAATTTTTTGTGACATGTTTGAAGAAAATCAGATAAAAAATGAGTAAGTTATTCAAGATTTTATTTTAAGTAGCACAAAAATTTAAATTTTTTCACAGTTTTTTTGCAATTTTTTGTGTGAAGCCAATATTGCAATAAAACTATCAAGCACTCTGGATAAACCTCATAACATGAGCTATGTTTTGCATTAAGTGCAAAGAACATCAGTTCATCCAGCAAAAAAATTGTTTAAATATAACTTTGCCTTGACTTTTGCAAAAAGTCATATGCACCTTCAGTTTTATTAATGTTTCAGCCAAATCCTGTGGGCATAGAGACTGAAAAGTTAGTCTTGACTTATATTAATAAATCTGCAATACATATCTAAAATTTCATCAAAATCGGTCTAGAATTGTAGTTGTGCATAAATAGCATACACACACAGACAGACACACTACAGACGTCTTCTGTTTTATAGATATAGAAAATAATAATACTTTATAAACATAATTTTTGAAGTTTTATTGCTTTAAAATACTATTTTCAATGGCAAATATTGAAAACCCGGAAGCACTAATTTTAATAACCTTTCTGGAAAATATTGAAAAATCTCTTGATCAATTTATGACACATATTTTCACACATTTGTACTCTCTTAAATTATTACATGCAAATAAAAATTTCACTGAGTCCAACTTATTTGTCAATGTAGAATTTTAAATTTATATTTCTTGTGTAAGTGTAAATCATCTGAATTACAAAAATACTTTCCTCTGCAAAATAAAAGCTTACAAGAAAAATCTGTAACTTTCAGATAAATTGGATTAAACTCTGGTCTTAATAGGTTTTTTGCAAATAAGTTTATGAAACAGTTTTTTTCTGTGAATTGGATTAGAAAATGCATAGTACCTAGTTTGTGGCAGTAATCTTTGAAATTAATTTTAAGAAAGATTTAAAATTTAAACTATTTAAAATAAGAATAATGACGGAGAGAAAGAGAAGAAAAAATGTTAGAAGGAAATATCTTATTACAATTCTGTGTGTCTTATATTTCCCTAGTGAGTATGTGTGTTATGCTCTGCCAATGCCTCATAAATAATGGCCTATTCTATTTGACTGTGTATTTTGATCACAAGGAAAGACGAAAAAGACATATTAGAGATGCTGGTTGATTTCAGTGAGAAATTGAAAGAAAGAAGGAAAGAAAATCCCTACCACTAGCTCATAAATAATGAACTGTCCTGTTTTGATCACAAGGAAAGATGGAAAAGATATATCAGAGATATTTGATTTCAGTGAGGAAAAGAAAGAAAAAAACTTCAAACAGGAAAACTATGGAATTATCACTGAGTCCTACTAGTAAGCAATGGATCTAGTTGTTGACATATATGGTTGAAGAAAGAAATAATAAATTACAAAGGGGTAAATAAGAAAATACTCCAAGTAAAGAATGGAAAAGAATGAACAAAAATTCTGCCTGAATTTCTGAGATAAGTTATTATTACTATTCATTTATGAAGATGCTGTTCTGAAGAAATCATTACCAAATGATACAAGTTTGTAACAAAATACTGATATTAATTAATGTAAAAAAAAAAAAATGAGAAAGGAATATGAGAAGAGGTCAAAGAAATAAAATTTAAAAGAAGAAAATCATTGGAACGACAGAGGAAAATACATTGAATAAAAAGACAATAGTCAGTAAGTGAAGGAAGCTGCATTGAACTATATAAGCATAGTCTGGTACAAGGCCAATGTTTTAAGGCACCAGTGAGATAGATCAAATAGACTCTACAGGAACTCCTAAACAAGGTAGTAAAGGATAGCAGAAAAAGGACTAACAATCAATTGTAAGAAGACAGAATGTGTGGTAATCAACAACAAGAAAAGCCCAAGATGAGAGTAAGAAATTGAAAATCTCAACAAATCAAGCAAGTACAGACCTGTTTTAACAGAAAACGTGAGACTGAAATTCAAAGGTATATTTGGAATAGTGAAAGATGCCTTCCAAAAAGTTAAACAAAGTATTAAGAAACAGGAAAATTTAATTCAAAACCATGAAAAGTGTGCTCACCTGCTACATAATATCAGTCCTTCTATGAGGCAGTGAATGTTGCATAATTTTCTCACAGATGACGAGAAGACTTCAGGCAATAGAGATATTGTTCTACAGAAAGATACTGAGAACTTCACAGATGGAGAATGAGAGCAATGGGGAAATTTCAAGGAAACTTGAGACAAAAAGAACACATACTAAGAATCAGCAAAAGATAATTAAAATTTCTTAAACACATAATGAGGAAAGCAGTCTTGGAAAATTTAACACTCAGAGGATATATTGAAGACAAGATGGATGAAGGAAATCAGAGAGTAATCTATCTAATGAGCTTGCGTATATAGCAGAACATGGAGTGGCAAGAATAGTAAATAAACAAACCTTGCTAAGAGCTACATAGGACAGGAAGTTGTGGAGATCCATGTTCTCGTATCCTGAAGGGACATAGCTCATAAAAGAAGATGGAACATCCATAATTGTCATTGAAACTATCTTGTTAACTGTCACTCTACTGAACTGTTAGGTAATATCAGTTATCCTATATGGCAGTGAATACTGGACAATCTGCTCACAGATGAACAGGAGACTTGAATCAACAGAAATGTGGTTCTACAAAAGAATACTGAGAATAATATAGACAGAACATGTGAGCAAACAACAAAGTTTTAGAAAAAAACGGAAAAAAGGACACTTATACTTAAGATCACTAAGAGACAGTTGAAATTTCTAGGGCACATTATGAGGAAAGACAGCCTGGAAAATTTGATATTCATAGGGCAGAGGAAAATAACACATAACCTACCAAGAGAGCTTGTGTAAATGAATGGCAGAACAAGGTTTAGGAGAAGTAAGAAAAAGACAAAATTAATTGAGGGCTAAAAAGGACAGGAAATTGTGGAAAGCCATGATCACCACATCTTGAAGAGTCATGGCACATAGAAGAAGAAGTAGAAGAAGAAGAAGAAGAAGAAGAAGAAGGTCACTCTATAGACACTAAGGAAGAATATACATAAAGAAAGGAAAAAGAAAAAGAAAAGAAAAAGGAAAAGAAGAAAAAAAGAAAAGGAAAAAGGAAAAGAAGAAAGTAACAAATTGAAGAAGTTTAAAATAAAGAAAAGGAGATAAAAGATTTCAAAGAAACCATCTAAAAGAAAGAAAAAGAAAGAAATCTAAAAGAAAGGAATAAAGAATAAACAAAACAGTCTACAGGAAAAAAGAAATCTGAAAGTTGGGAAGACAAAGGAAAAACCAATGAAACAAAGAACTCTGAAAGAGAGAAAGATATGTAAGAATAATTTAAAAAAAAAAGATTCTGCAGGATAAACCTTCATTCTTGAACGAGGTTTGAACTCTGAATGAAATTCCAAAATGATTTTACAAAAATTAAAAATATTTTGCCCAAGAGAAAAAATCTGAAAAAAAAAAAACCCCAAATAAATGAAAATGAATTCCTCATAAGTGGAAAGACAATGCTAAAAAATAATAAATAAATAAATAAAAATCATTAAGAAATAAAAAAAAAAAATTGGAAGTTAACATAAAGAAAATAACAAGACTGAGTAATTATGAATGAGAAATTAAGATAAAGTGAAAGAAAGGAAGTTGGAAAAGGCTTAAAGAGTAACAGGAAAGGAGAGAAAGAAAGTGAGAAAGATATAAAAAGCAAAAAAAAAACTAATAAAAAAAAAAATGATAAATAATAATCCAAGAAATATGTTGGCAGATATCAAGCATAAATAGTAATAGGAAAAACTAGAGTAAACACACATGATGGAGAATGTAAGGAAATTAGTAAGGGCTGAAGAGAAGAAGAAAATGAAGAAGATGAAGAATTTTAGTAAAAAATTTGTGGAAGATTTACGTGACAGAAATAGGAAGAGCAGAGGAAATTAAAGAAGAATGTAAAAAGGAATGAAGATAAAAAAAAATGAGGACTGAGAGATTTCAAGTACAGAATATAATAATAATGGTTGTGATGGTAGAAATAATAGAGAAAATAATGGTGGTGGTTGAGGTGGTTGGAGGTTGTGGTGATGATGATCAAAGGAAGAATTACCCAAAAGCACCAAAAGGCAGGGAACCAAAACAGAAAAAAAAAATAACAGCTATTATAATGAATTGGAGAGGATTTCAGAAAAGAGGGTGGGGAAGTGAGAGAGTGAAAGAAGTTGGGAAAATTTGTAATAGAAAATGAAAAGGAAGAGAGAAAAACAAAAAGACCACATGATAAAAAAGAATGAAGAAAAGGTAAAGTGAAAAAAGGGGGAGACAAAAAGAGTGAAAGAGATAAAATAAGAATTTGGAAGAAGAATGAAAAGAGACAAAATAGAGAGAGACAGTGGGGGAGGTGAAGAGACATGAGAGAATTTGTAATAGAAAATGAAAGGGAATAAAGAAAAAGAGAAAGAAAAGAGATAAATAGATCAAGAAATAAGGAAAAGGGAAATGAGGAAGTGAAATGAAGAAAAGGGATAGAAAAAGAGTGAAAAATTAAGGAGAAGAATAAAAGTAGAAGAAAAAGAGAGAGAAAAGAAAGTTGTAAGAGGAGGTGTAAGAAAAAGAAAAAGAAAAAAAAAACATTTGAAAGGAAGGTTAGAAAAGAATAAGAAAAGTAAATCATTTGATTGCCTCATCTACCAAAAAAAGAAATAAAGAAAAAGTAACCTAAAGAAAAAAAGAAATATTGTTTAGAAGAGAGAGGCAACAAAAGAAAGAAGGATAAAGATTATAAAAATGAGAAAATGAAGAGAAATGGCAAAAAGAAGGATTAATGAATACAGAGAGAGTAAGAGAAGATAGAGGGAACAATGAATGCAGAAAGAGTGTAAAATAAAGATGGAGAAAGAGAGAGTGATGATATAAGAAATAATGAATACAGAGAGAGAATAAAAAGCTAGAAGAAATAATGAACACTAAAAGAGAGAGAGAGAGAGAGAGAGATAGATGGAGAAATAGTGAAGATAAAATAAATAATGAACACTAAAAGAGAGAGAGAGAGAGATAAATGTTTGATGAAGAAATAGAGAGAGAAGATAGAAGAAATAATGAATATAAAATTAAAATCAAGTTTATCTAAAGACAGAATAAGGTGGCAGAAGGGAAGTTAAAGAGAGAAATAGAAAATAAGAGAAATAAAAGGAAAGAAGGAGGGATGATAGGAAGGATATAATGAGAGAAGGAGAAAGAATGAGAGACAAAGAGGGAAAGATCAAAGAAATGGAGACCAGAAAAATATAAAGACAAAAAGCAATGAGATGAGTTTGAAGAGAACAGAGGCAAATTATGAAAAAGGGTTGAAAGAGAGAAAATAAACAAAGTTAAATGAAGAGTGAAAGCTACAATGAAAGAAAGAAAAAGCAGAGAAATAGAGAGTAAGAGTATAAAGAATGAATTACGGTGAAGACAAGAAAGAAAGAAAGAAAGAAA